AAATTATATATTCGAATCAGTTCGAATTGTATCAAATTATATATTCGAATCCGTTCGAATCAAATTATATATTCGAATCTGTTCGAATCAAATCGAATCAATCCGAATTTGAATCCGTTCGAATTAAATTATATATTCGAATCAGTTCGAATCAAATCAAATCAAATCAAATCAAAGTACAATTCGATTCGATTCGAATTCGATTTGAACTGATTCGAATCAAAAATTAAGTGATTCGATTTGATTCGAATTCGAATCGGTTCGAATCGGTTCGAATTTCATTGATTCGTTCGGAGCCTTATATATTATATAAATTATACTTTAGAGCCATGGAAAGATTTAATAGATTAAAAATACCAGTGGTGTAAAAAAACTCATTCAAAATACACAAAATTTCTTTATTTATTGTAATATTTCTATCTATTGCAACTTCCGAAAAAATTGTACGAAATAAAGATTCTCTCTCATAGCTACGAATGTAACCTAATTAAAAACCTCTAATAATTTTATAAATGTAACGATTTTCCAGAAACATTAGTAATTGAAAGTTTGTAATACTAATAAAACACTAATAAAACATATTGTTTTCAAACCACTACTCCTCCTCTGTTTTTAAAGATATGAACACCAAATTAGCATGCAAGATAGTATATGTAATATAGATTAGAGTTATAGAAAGATTTAATGGATATAAAAATACCAATGGTATAAAAAAGCCCATTCAAAATACAGAAAATTTCTTCTTTATCATAATACTTCTATCTATTGCAACTTCCGAAAAAATTGTATGAAATAAAATTCTCTCTCCATAGCACTATTCTACAATGTATCCTGATTAATAATTTTATAAATGTAATGATTTTCCAAAAGCCTTAGTAATTGAAAGTTCATAATACTAATAATGTAATAATGTATTTGAAAATATATTTTGTTAAACTGTTTCCTTTTTTAGAGAAAAAAGGGGTACCATAAAAAAATCCGCATATATGTATTTACATTGGGCGCCTTCAAAAATTATTAGATTGAGATTGAGATTGAGATTGAGATCGAATTTTAATATGAAATTTCAATCTAGGTCAGGTAATAAGATTGAAAAAATAAAAATGAAAATAAAATAAAAATAAAAATAAAAATAAAAATAA